GTTCTTAATTCAGGCAAAAGTCCTACAGATCTCACCTGCTTGAGGAATGCAAGGTCAGGTCCAAAATGGGGCTGTATTTAAAATAAACTTTTAATTTTAGTAGCTATCTCTTGCTGAAACTATGTAGCGAGTTTGCTTGGGAGCCATAGTTCTGCATTGAATTTCTTTTTTACCTGTTGGCACACCTTTCTGTGACTTTCTTTAAAAAAGCCCTGAAAGTGCCAAGTTGAATACATACAACAGTAGCATTTCTTCAATTATTACCTGAACCATTTCATACTAAATGACACTGTGGTAGAACTCACATGCAGATTGCTTTTTTTTTTTCCCAGGGTTTCAGTCCAACTAAAATGGCTATGTAAGCAAGCTGGATGAGAATGTGGGGAAATTACCATGGCAAATATGTAACAAAACCACAAATCAACAGCTACCTGGTTCTTGTTGTTTTTTATTGTGTGGTATTGTTGGGAAAGCAAAGTAGAAAATCAGCTTACCATGTTTAACCGTTTATGTTCTGTATTAATTTCTGCAGTGAACTCAATTTTATTTTCAACTGTTCAGTAAAACCTGATAGTAAAGATAAAACTGCATTAAGTGTTGAAGTGATACTAATATAAAAGAAATGCTGCTTATTTTACGAATGTCTTGAACTGAGTGACAAGTGTGAACACAGTTTAAATATTGACAACTTGTTTTTAAAAAGTCCAGTTAAAGTTATAAAATGCAATACAGACTATTCAAATACATTTTTTTTCAGTTAAGGGGATCAGTTGCTAAGAGTTGTACATAAGAATATTATTAATGTGCATTTCAAATATTTTTGTGCATTATCAAAGTAATACAATAAACAATGTTCCTTACAATACATCCTTGGTAAAACTTAGCTAAGAAAGAAACTCTGCTGATGTTTGGTTTTGTTATTTAAAATAAGCTTCTTAGAGTCTTACACACACAACTTCCAGGGGTATGTTATGTGAGCATACCTGTTTTCATTTGCTTGCTCCTGGCAGACCTTGAGCAGCTGAAAAGCTAGTATCAAAACATTTGTGTAGAAGTCCTTTTTCTGTATCATATAAATGAATGTTTGTTGCCAGTCTGTAAATCTCCCAAGATACTTGGTATATCAATACTCCTTTATAGAGCATAATGTTTTTTTGAAGCTGAATTCTAAGCTTTGTGGTATACAGTCATGTTAAGTCACTTGGAGTTACACTATTTTTGTAGAAATCGTGAATGAATTTCATTAGTGGTAACAGTGACTTGAAAATAACATGATGAAAAGTGTTCCAGTAAGGAGCTTAAACACTGTTTTTCATCTGGTGGCTGACTAATAAATACTTTGATAGTCTAGATAACTACTTGTCTGCATAACCACCACCATGTCTCAGTGGTATTTCTGCAGTATATCTACGAAGTAGAATTTCTTCATGCAGGATGAGGTGTTTGGGTTTTTTACACTTATTCCTATTTCTGGAAGGAAAAAATATGGAAGAGATTAAATAGAATCAAGTAAAGATTATGGGTTTTTTGGGCAGTGTGAGCTTTCATTCTACTGCTGAATTTGATAGAAATGCCTATTGCAATACAAAAGGAAAGTTTAAATGGCAGCCCTAGCTTAAAATACTTGATTCCTGTCCTGGCTCAGTCCTCCCTTAAGTGCTTAAATTTTCTCCATTGTATCAAAGATCTCAAAATGGTGGCGGGGTGTGTGTGTTTAATTAGCCGATAACCCCACTTCTCTACTATCTTAATAGCTTTAAATTGCTTTTGCAAACTTGGATGGCATAGCTGTAATTGAAGACTCTATAGGCCTATACAAAGGTGATGAAATGGGGTAAGTAATGGTATATGCTAGTGCTTACTGCTGTAGTAGTTTATCCAATACAAACCACAGCTGGTACATAAAAACTATTTTAAGAACTGAGTGATCATTGTATATAAATACTATAAAGCTGAAAACATGTTTTTATCCCAAGAGCAAAAAGGATTGCGGTGGGTAAAAAGAACAGGAGAAACTTAGACTTCACTTAATGTACTGATCACTTGATTGTAGGCTTATTTCAGCTTTATATGACCAATGTTTTGCAGTATGCCGCTGTAACTATTTTTTTCCTGGAGTTACAGTAATAGTCTTTCTTACAGATGTCATGTGAGCTGCACCTGTACTGTGACTATAAATGAAATGCTCCTTCTGTCTGCTGAAGAGCATTTACATGTTGAACTTCCCAGACACTTAAAAAAAAAAAAAAGGCGCTATACTTGTACACCTTGGCATGTCAATGACTTAGATGCTGTTGGGTGCTTTGCATTTATGAAACAAGCTTTCTTAAATGCCTAACCTAAATGTAAACCTGGATTTAAAAGGTTAGCTTAGGCATGTAAAGAAATGTGCTGCTATGTGGTCATGCTACAGATGCGTAATTCCAATGCCAAAAACTATTAACATATACTTGAAGCCACTGTAAATTGACATTTTTATGGTAGGTGCTTAGCACTCCCATGTGGACGTAAATGGTACTAAATGTTAATTATTATTCTGCTGTTTTCTTGGAAAAGTAGCTACAGAAAGAGCTGTGCTAAACATTACTATGAACTCTAGCATTGGATTTGCTTCCCTCCTTAAAAAAAAAATAAAACAACACCCAAACAAACAAAAAAACCCAACAAAAAGGTAGGGTGGGAAGAGAAGGAAGGAGAAGTAAAAATCAAGGCTGTGTTTGTATGTTAAGATACACTACCTTCATGTAATAGAGAAATAAAGCTTAGTATCAGAGACAGAACTGGGAAGTATGTTAAGAGATGAGAGAGAATTCTCTTAATTAGATTAGTGCAAATCCACTTATCTGTACCTTAAATCAGAATCTGTTCAAACTCTGGCTTTCTCCCATGAGTAGCATCTGGCTAGAGAATTTATCCTAAGTTCTTTGGTACTAACCCAAATTCATTTTCACATTTCTGTAGATATGAAGTATGATTTGCAGTTCTAGAGACCAGATCCCTTAACTTCAGTGCAAGGTGAAGTCTTTCCATTTACTTTAACTTTCCCACAATTTTTTTTTTAACTTAAAAAAAAAATCTCTATCTTAAAGATTCATGAAGTAATTTTGAAAACATGTCCAATCTATGAGATGTACTGGAACTACTTTTCCTTACTGGCAGACTTAACAGCTGTAAAACTCCATTGTCATCTTGATATTTTTACAATACATGTTTTTTGGACTTAACTCTAAGTCTTCTATAGGCACACAAAATTAGAGTGATACTGTAAGACTGAACACTTCTAAATTTAAGTGTTCTATACCAGACATTGTAAAATCATTGTCTTAAATTCAGTTACTGAAAAAAAGGGGTCTTAAAAATAAATACTTCTGTTAGGCATCATTCAAATGAGCATTGCTGCTTAAGTGCACATGAGAAAAATATCCTGGCATGCCACTGAAGTAACTTTGCTTATGTTAGCCTTCATATGTACTTAATGATGCTTCCAGTGTCTTAAAAAAAAAAAAAAGGCTTTTGTTTGAGCATTTACAGGAAAAAGGGAGGAAGATGAAAACATTGAAGGAGATAGTGATTATATATTGCTTTTTACATGAAACTGAGCTACAACTACACCTAAGTAACGTACAGTTAAATTGTTCATGTATAGTAGTGCTGCAAAAAACCTATAAGGAAACAGGCAGTATTAAGCACTTAATTCTACAGTACAGACATTTGTCTTGTGCTGTGGACTGTGCTGGTTTTCATCTGTAACTTACAACATAAAAATAAACCCGAACTCAGTGAGAGATGCTTGGAGATTTAAAAATATTTAAATATGATTAGCAAATTTTCATGAGGTCTTCCTCCAAGCTGTCACTAGTAATTTCTAAAACAAGAAGAAAGTGCTGCAGTGCTTAAAACATAGTGAAGCTTTTTTTGTTGGCTCACGTTTCCATGGATTTTAACCATTTGATTAAATCTTACTACCTTAAAGTAGCACATAATTATTTCAGGCTAGGCATGGGCAACCTAAATATTGTAGGAAAAAGATCTAGTTCTGAACTTGTCTCTTATTTCGGTAGATAATCTTTCCTAACAAAACACTTAGAATGTCTGAATGATGTTTTAACATGAAGTAACGATATTGTGCAGTCTGTAGTGTGTATCTAAAACTGGTGTTAAGGAGACCTTCTCTCCTGGTTAAAATCAGTTGGGCAACCTAAATATTGTAGGAAAAAGTTCTACTTCTGAAGTTGTCTCTTATTTCGGTAGATTATCTTTCCTAACAAAACACTTAGAATGCCTGAATGATGTTTTAACATGAAGTAACAATATTGTGCAGTCTGTAGTATGTATCTAAAACTGGACCTTC